AGGCGGGCTTGTTAAGATGCAAAGTAGCTATTTCGAGATACCTCTGGTACCCAAAGAAAGAAGGCTTGCTGATGCTGCAGCAGCGCCTCCACTCCCTTCTTTGCTGGATTACCTTTGGTGAGGCCGCATCTGGAGTATTGTGTCCAGTTCTGGGCCCCCCACTACAAAAAGGATGTGGATGCATTGAAGAGGGTCCAGCGGAGGGCAACCAAAATGATTAGGGGGCTGGAGCATATGACTTATGAGGAGAGGCTGAGGGAGTTGGGTCTGTTTAGTCTGCAGAAGAGAAGAGCGAGGGGGGATTTGATAGCAGCCTTAAACTTCCTGAAGGGAGGTTCCAAAGAGGATGGAGAGAGGCTGTTCTCAGTAGTGACAGATGGCAGAACAAGGAGCAATGGTCTCAAGTTGTGGTGGGAGAGGTCCAGGTTGGATATTAGGAAAAACTATTTCACTAGGAGGGTGGTGAAGCACTGGAATGGGTTACCTAGGGAAGTAGTGGAGTCTCCATCCCTAGAGGTGTTCAAGTCTCGGCTTGACAAAGCCCTGGACGGGTTGATTAAGCTGGAATTGGTCCTGCCTAGAGCAGGGGGCTGGACTTGATGACCTTCTGAGGTCTCTTCCAGTTCTATGATTCTATGATTCTATCCTTGACAGGTGATACTCCAGACAAAATATATTAGAGCTACCTTTGCTATCAACTAAAAATGTATTTAAAAATAAGTATAAATATACTCTACAATACCAAATAGAAGCTCTTATCCAATACAGGTTAATCTATAACAGTGGTTCTCAAAGTTCATTGCATTGTGATCCCCTTCTGACAACAAAAATAACTACACAAACCTAGGAGGGACAACTGAACCCTGAGCCCCACCATCCTGCATAGGATGGGGGGGGGGGTAAAGCCAAAGCCCAAGTCCCATCATCCCAGACCGGGATGGGGGAGAAACATTGTTCAGCTGCATAGAAAACATAGAAAATATGGCAAAGGACACCTTGGCTTAACCAGGATATCTTGCATGATCTAAAAATAAAAAAGTAGTCATATAAAAATAGAAAACTAAGACAAATTACAAAGGATGAATATAGGCAAACAATACAGGAATGCAGGGGCAAGATTAGAAAGGCAAAGGCACAAAACGAGCTCAGACTAGCTATAGGCATAAAGGAAAACAAGAAGACATTCTATATAAATGTTAGAAGCAAGAGGAAGACCAAGGACAGGGTAGGCCCATTGCTCAGTGAGGAGGGAGAAACAGTAACAAGAAACTTGGAAATGGCAGAGATGCTTAATGACTTCTTTGTTTCGATCTTCACCGAGAAGTCTGATGAAGGAATGCCTAACATAGTGAATGCTAGGGGAAACGGGTTAGGTTTAGAAGATAAAATAAAAAAAAGAACAAGTTAAAAATCACCTAGAAAAGTTAGATGCTTGCAAGTCACCAGGGCCTGATGAAATGCATCCTAGAATACTCAAGGAGCTGATAGAGGAGGTATCTGAGCCTTTAGAGATCATCTATGGAAAATCATGGGAGACAGGAGAGATTCCAGAAGACTGGAAAAGGGCAAATATAGTGCCCATTTATAAAAAGGGAAATAAGAACAACCCAGGAAACTACAGACCAGTCAGTTTAACTTCTGTGTCAGGAAAGATAATGGAGCAAGTATTTAAGAAAATCATCTGCAAACACTTGGAAGATAATAAAGTGATAGGGAACAGCCAGCATAGAATTCTAAAGATCAAATCATGTCAAACAAATATGATAGCTTTCTTTGATAGGATAACGAGTCTTGTGGACAGGGATGAATCTCGGTGGACATGGTATACCTAGACTTTAGTAAGGCATTTGATACGGTCTCGCATGATATTCTTATCAATAAACTAGGCAAATACAACATAGATGGGGCTCCTACAAGGTGAGTGCATTACTGGCTGGATAACCATTCTCAGGGTATGTCTACACTACCACCCTAGTTCGAACTAGGGTGGTAGTGTAGACATACCCTGAGAATGGTTATCCAGCCAGTAATGCACTCACCTTGTAGGAGCCCCATCTATGTTGTATTTGCCTAGTTTATTGATAAGAATATCATGCGAGACCGTATCAAATGCCTTACTAAAGTCTAGGTATACCATGTCCACCGAGATTCATCCCTGTCCACAAGACTCGTTATCCTATCAAAGAAAGCTATCATATTCATGACGAGTAATGGTAGTTCGGAATAGGAAGCCTAGTCTGAACTATCTAGTTCGTGCGCGGCTAGCCGTGGGGCACGGAGTCCGAACTAGTGGACATTTAAAAATGGCGGCGCCCGGCAACATGCAAATGAAGCCCAGGAAATTCAAATCCCAGGCTTCATTTGCAACTCCGGTTGACTACATTACCACCCTAGTTCGAACTAGGGTGGTAGTGTAGACATACCCTAAGAGATTCCACAGGGGTCTGTTTTGGGACTGGCTCCGTTCAATATCTTTGTCAACGATTTAGATATTGGTATAGAAAGTATGCTTATTAAGTTTGCAGATGATACCAAGCTGGGAGGGGTTGCGACTGCTCTGGAGGATAGGGTCCTAATTCAAAATGATCTGGACAAATAGGAGCAATGATCTGAGGTAAAGAGGATGAAGTTTAATAAGGACAAATGCAAAGTGCTCCACTTAGGAAGGAACAATCAGTTTCATAGATACAGAATGGGAAGCTGGGAAGGAGTACAGCAGAAAGGTATCTAGGGGTTATAGTGGACCACAAGTTGAAGATGAGTCAGCAGTGTGATGCTGTTGCAAAGAAAGCAAACATGATTCTGGCCTGCATTAACAGGTGTGTTGTGAGCAAGACATGAGAAGTCATTCTTCCGCTCTACCCTGCGCTGGTTAGGGCTCAATTGGAGTATTGTGTTCAGTTCTGGGCACCACATTTCAAGAAAGATGTGGAGAAATTGGAGAGAGTCCAGAGAAGAGCAACGAGAATTATTAAAGGTCTAGAGAACATGATCTATGAGGGAAGGCTGAAGGAATTGGGTTTGTTTAGTTTAGAAAAGAGAAGATTGAGGGGCGACATGATAGCAATTTTCAGGTATCTAAAAGGCTGTCATAAGGAGGAGGGAGAAAACTTGTTCATTTCGGCATCTGGGGATAGAACAAGAAGCAATGGGCTTAAACTGCAGCAAGGGAGGTTTAGGTTGGACATTAGGAAAATGTTCCTAACTGTCAGAGTAGTCAAACACTGGAATAAATTTCCCAGGGAGGTTGTGGAATCTTCATCTGTGGAGATATTTAAGAGTAGATTAGATAAATGTCTATCAGGGATGTTGTAGACAGTATTTGGTCCTGACATGAGGGCAGGGGACTGGACTTGATGACCTCTTGAGATCCCTTCCCCCTTCGATAGTCCGGCATACCTGATAATCCGGCACCCCCTGGGTCCTAAAGGTGTTGGATTATCGGAAATTTACTGTATATGGTATTCTTCCCACAGAATCAATGGAACCCTTATTTCTGGTAAGTATCAAACTTTTAAAATATAAATTTTGATATCCCACTGGTTTATGCAAGAATGACTTGATACAGTCCAGAAGCCCCCTTCGATAGTCCGGCATACCTGATAATCCGGCACCCCCTGGGTCCTAAAGGTGTTGGATTATCGGAAATTTACTGTATATGGTATTCTTCCCACAGAATCAATGGAACCCTTATTTCTGGTAAGTATCAAACTTTTAAAATATAAATTTTGATATCCCACTGGTTTATGCAAGAATGACTTGATACAGTCCAGAAGCACCAAATAGATGAAAAGGCTATTATTTAAAGTGAGACAACAAGCTTCAATTTTATTGCTGAAATTTCTTCTGTCTATAGTAGAAAAAAATCTAAACTCCTGTGTATTTAAATAACTTTTCTTTCCATTGTATTCCTGTATTCTTGATCTTGCATAGTATGGTGTGCTTTTGTATTGAAAATGGTGGAGGTGTTTCATTCTTCCTTCTAAGTTTATTAAATGGCAAAATAGCTGCAAAGGGATAGGGTACCAAAGAAAATATCTGTAGTTCAGCTTATTATGTAGCTACTTGAAATAAACATATGATGCATCATCCGGGTACCACAAGCCCTGCTCTTTCTGTCACTTTTCCCTTTGCTGTTTGTTGAATCCCTCTGGCTGTGTCTACACTGGGCCACTTATTCTGGAAAAGCAGCCGCTTTTCCGGAATAAGCTGCGAGCTGTCTACACTGGCCCCTTGAATTTCCGGAAAAGCAGTGACGATTTACTGTAAGAAATCAGCGGCTTTTCCGGAAAAACTATGCTGCTCCTGCTCGGGTAAAAGTCCTTTTTCCGGAAAACTGTTCCGGAAAAGGGCCAGTGTAGACAGCACAGTAGTCTTTTCCGCAAAAAAGCCCCGATCGCGAAAATGGCGATCGGGGCTTTTTTCCGGAAAAGCGGGTCTACATTGGCCACAGACGCTTTTCCGGGAAAAGGGCTTTTCCGGAAAAGCATCCTACTGTTCCGTTTTAAGCATTTCCGGAAAAAGGTGCCAGTGTAGACACAGCCTCTGTGTTACAGTGGTAACCTGCCTGAAATGATTCTCTAGACAAGTATCTGCTTACCAGTTTTTTCAATTACATTTTTGCACAAGGCTGTCTCTAACCACTGGAGTTTGTTACACTGAACTGAATTAATATTTATCATTTATTTTTAAGTTTATAAATGGTGGTAGAGTAGTAAATTGATGCTGGCAGTAAGGTATTTACTGTAGGAAATATCCACCAGTCTAAGCACAGTCACTAACAGCTGTAAGGTATTCACCAGCTGCTCAGCACAGCTGACATTTGTGTGATAACTTGTTTTGTAGGGCAGAGCTAGATCTCATGTACAGACAGGTAGCTACTGAAATAGCTCCTTCTTGCTAGTATATTGAACATGTTCATGTTACAAATGTTTAAAACTGTTTTCTTCTCTTTCATAAATATGAATATACTCATTTACCTCTTTTTTCTTCTTTCATAGGTAATGCATTTGTGGTTAGCCTGGCTTTGGCAGACCTGGTGGTGGCCTTGTATCCGTATCCACTGGTGCTCTTGGCCATTTTCCACAATGGATGGTCTTTGGGTGAAATGCACTGTAAGCTGAGTGGCTTTGTGATGGGACTAAGTGTAATAGGCTCCATCTTCAACATTGCTGCAATTGCAATAAACAGATACTGCTACATATGCCATAGCTTTGCTTATGACAAAGTGTATACCTGTTGGAACACAATGCTATATGTTTGCCTAATTTGGGTGTTAACAGTTGTTGCAACTGTGCCAAATTTTTTCATTGGATCTTTAGAGTATGATCCACGCATTTATTCTTGCACATTTGTTCAGACTGCTAGTTCCTATTACACCATTGCTGTTGTCATAATTCATTTCATAGTTCCTATCACTATTGTGAGCTTCTGCTACTTTCGGATTTGGATCTTAGTGATTCAAGTAAGAAGAAGAGTCAAATCAGAAACAAAACCAAGACTCAAGCCAAGTGACTTCAGAAACTTTCTCACCATGTTTGTGGTTTTTGTGATCTTTGCCTTTTGTTGGGCACCACTGAATTTCATTGGACTAGCTGTAGCTATTAATCCTTTGGAAATGGCACCAAAAATTCCTGAGTGGTTGTTTGTTGTAAGCTATTTCATGGCCTACTTCAACAGTTGCCTTAATGCAATAATATACGGACTTCTTAACCAGAATTTTCGGAAAGAATATAAAAGAATCCTAATGTCACTGTGGATGCCAAGGCTCTTCTTTCAGGACACATCCAAAGGAGGGACTGAAGGTCAGAAGAGCAAGCCTTCTCCTGCTTTAAACAACAATGACCAAATCAAAACTGATACCTTGTAAATGTGTTATGGTGAATGCAAAGGAGTGCCACTGAGCACTCCAATGATATAGTTATAAGATTACAATCATTCTTGCTAATGTTCTTTGCTTTCGATTTGAATGGTATATAGTGACTGTGATCCTGTCATCTTGATAAAACACTGTTCTAAACTCATAATTTATACAAGATACCAATTTGAAATCAGCTTCAGAATTAAAGTAGAACATGGATGCCAGCTGCTTTATTTCTGAGAGACTAACCCTGTCCTCCAAATGTGGATGAGGCACTTACTGACTTCAGTGGGAGTCATGCACTTTTATCCAAGGTCAGAATTTGGCTCTGAGAAAACATAATGAATGCATTTGCTTAGAGATCTAGTAGTTAAAGCTGAGGGCAATTTTTCCTATCATGTCTGTACATGGAGTTGATGTAGATATTTTGCTTATCCTCTGTATGTCAAACTTGGCATTTCTGAGCATGTACTGATAGAGAAACAAATTTTCCTTGTGTACTATAGAGGAGAACTTTGTCTTACCAGAGAATTTTAACACTAATGCCTTTCCTGACAGGGATTTTCATATATTTCCACCTCATTTTATTTATTCTATTTGTGTTCTGTATATGTTATTGCTCTCTTTTTTTCTTTGGGATGATACAATGTAATTAGTCAATTGTTTACATGTTTATAGTAGTTTTGAGGATTCTTCTTCTAATATGTGCTCAGAATTCCCATTAGTACTAGGTAGAGTTGTGTGTATACTGAAAGGCAATAGGCATAAAATATCTGTACAGAAATAGTAGATATAAAATGTATAAATCTTGCCTTCTTAATTTTATATATAATATATATAAGTCATGTGAGAGCTGCAGGCTCCAAAAATATATGTAACAATGAATTCCAAACAGAATTGGGTAAAATGAAGGGGAGTCACTAACAGTGTCACTTTTCAAAAGTGCTCAGCATTGACCTAACTCTCAGTGGAGGCAGCATCTAACCAATATTGAACACTTTTGAGAAAACCTCATCTTAGATATTTAAATGTTTCCTGTATATGGAGCAGATGTGGTTGCTTGCAAGGGTGCCATTTTGGGAGGACAGGAGGGGGAAATGCCTGTGCAAACCAGGACACTGCTTGCTTTTCTTCCCGTTGCCCTGGCTATCAGTGAGCTAGGGGAAAGTACATGGCTTCAGTGCATGCTGGTGAAGGGAAGGGGCAGGAGGATTCACAAAATCCATGTACTTTCTCCTTGCTCTCTGATAGTCAGGTGAATGGAAAGAAAAGCATGCAGTGTCCTGGTATGCACAGGCATTTCCCCCAAAATGGCACCTTGGTACTCATGACTACTGCTGTCCCATCCGCCATCCTCCTGCCAGTGTTCCCTCTAAGCTGTGTGGCAGCACAGCTTCACAGGTGATTTATCAGCCCTGTCCAGTCAGAGGCTCAGGGCTCTATGCACAAATCTGACTGACTGTGCAGGGCTGATAAATCACCTGTGAAGCTGTGCTGCTGTGCAGCTTAGAAGGAACACGCCCCACCCCCGCACTCCTGGCCCCCCTTCAACCTCCCAAAATGGCACCCTTGGTTGCGTGTTTCAGTTGTTGTTTTTGCTCTACAAATATCAGTATGAGGTTCCGTCAGAGGTCTCTTAGTGTTATTCTACCTCAGATATGCACAGTTTATGAGATAAAGGGGAAGTTTTTTTGACCAGCTCTGCAAACTCAGACTAGGGGTCTGAAATTCAAGTTGGGTTCATTACTTTGCAAGTTTCACCTCCTCTAACAGCAAACATGCAGGCCAAATTACAAAATTGGTTACACTTTCACAGTTTTGCTATAGCCTACATAAATTGACATGTATCATCTTTATTACTACAGTAGCTATGCTAAGTGAGAAGGAAGGAAGTCAACTTGCCTTTTAACACTCCAGGTTGGGTTTACTGGGCTGGCCATTAAAAAAAACGTTAAAAACTTGTGCACTGAGCAACTTAGATATGGAGTCATTAAAACACATTAAATATGGAACCCTATTTTCAGAGACAAATACAAATAACAAACACACTTTAATGGTTTTTATTGTCTGCCATCCTATCTATTTAAAGTCAAAACTGTATGGCAAAGTGACATATCTGATGATTTTCTAAGCTTCTGCCACTATTTCCTAGTATTGCTAATGTGCTCTCAAGCACTCGATCCTATTTGGCATGTATACTGCTTTGATGAAAACTAAGTGGACAGAGATCTTGGAGAGATCTAACCATTTTCTGTAGGATGGTAAAAGAGAGGTACACTCAGTGACCACTCACGGATTTAAACTGGACAAATGTATCCCAATGTTGTCTATAAATTAATTTAACTATTAGTAAGTATCCTTAAAACATACTTTGAAATGACGCTCTAAAACTTGCACCCTGGATTTTTCCATACCAAGATCCTGAATATAGAATTGTTGTGTGTGTGTAGGTCTCTTCCTGTGTGTGTGTGTGTAACATCCATCAAAGTCTAAGGGAAATCAGTGAGTGCTCAGGGAATTCAGGAGTGACACTAAATTTGCTCATTTCACAACATTATTGATTCAGACTTTTTGTCCTGAAAAGTCAGCTTAGAACTTGAAAGTCAAGCTAATGTTAAGAATAATTCAGAGGGAGCTCAGTTTATCATTTGATGATGCATGAGCTAAAATAACATGCAGTTCACATTGCTGTGTTAACTCTGCAGAACTAAATGAAAAATAATAATATTTTTCTTAATCAAATAAGCAAATATCCTATATGTTCATTGGAAGCAGATGTGAAAAGGACTTTGACATTTTTACAGAGTACTTTTTCTAATTACATTTGCACTTTCAAAATTAGAGGTCAAATTTTGGATTTATTACTCACATTGGTAAGCACATACATCAGAGATCCCAAATTAAACTAACGAGGCTATTCATGTTCATTACTACTTACTAAGATATATATGGATTCCAAAATCTTCATTGCAACTGGCTAAAAGAGGTCTGAACAAATGCTTTATCCTAAGGTACAGATTCTGCCATCCTTACTCTCATTTAGTACCTTGTTACCTTACTCCTCACGGCACCTAGATGAAATCAGTGAGGCTATTTGCAGCACAAGGTACTCTTATTCTTGAGTACTTTTGCAGTGATGGTAAGCAAAACAAGTTTTTATATAGTATGTTATCACACAACTGTTAATTTTAATTTAAACCTGAAATCAATTAAATAATCCAATTAAACTAGATGACTAACACAGTTCTTCCATAGTAAACTCTCTCTTCATTTAGCAATACAGGCAGTCCCCGGGTTACGTACAAGATAGGGACTGTAGGTTTGTTCTTAAGTTGAATTTGTATGTAAGTCGGAACTGGTACATATTGTAGGGGAAACTCTAGCCAAACATTTCTCCAGAGCTCAGTCTTATTCTTCCACACCTCACTTCCCTCAGTCTTTTATTCTCAAGCTGAGGTGTCTACTGAGAAAAGCCGCTCCGCGTCTCCCTGGTCTGCTGAGGGTGGGTGCTAGCTTTGCGTCTCCCTGGTCTGCTGGGGGGAAGCAGCTAGTGCAGGAGGAGGGTCCTTTTTTTGCTAACACAATGAGGCCAGCACTTTGTTTGTTTTGGTGGAGTCTTTGTTTGCCCAGGGAGCCCAGCATGTATAGAGGGGAGGAGGGGCAGAGAGGCTGCTTTTGTCTGCTGTTGTTCAGCAGCCTGTTGCTCAGGGGAGGGGGCAGCCTGTTGCTGGCAGGGGGTGGGGGGGGCAGCGGGCGTGGGGAGGCACTTTTCCTCTGCCCGGCAGCTCTCCGGGACCCCAGTCGGAGCCGGCCCGAGGAGGAGGATCCTAGGACCCAGGTGAGCGAGCCCCGGGAATGCTGCTGCGCATGTGCGGGAGTTGCCTCACCCCGTTCATATCTAGGGATCCGACGTAAGTCGGATCCACGTAAGTCGGGGACTGCCTGTACTTTAACAAAATGTCAGCAAAAAACAAATGGAAAATTACCTTGTATAGGTCACTAGAGGAATGAGAATGATGCTTCAGGGTTTTTTGTGATGATTTTTCTTTTGGGAGACTATTTGGGGTCTTTTCAACTATGTTGTCCTTCTTGATTTGATTTTAAATGTTATTAGTATTGTAGACATATTAAAAATGCAATTCCAGAATAAGTCTTACACCAAAACTAATCTTTAGAGGTGAAATTCACCCCTTTGAAGAGACTCTATTGCTGAGGTGCTGTCCATTCAGTCAGTTTGACTTTAGCACAGAGGGATGGACCTTTTACTTTTTCCAAAGAGTTTAAGTGAGATTATGTGGTGAATTGGCCATATGCCGGCTCTTTGCACAGGGATAATTACAGAGATGACTTTCACCTCAAAGAACATTTTCATAAAATATTCAGGATGGAATTCTGGAGTTACTGATTTCAATGAGGCCAGGATTTCACTCTAAAAGTGCTAATTGAACTGATTAATTCTGAGTAGCCCATTCTTAGGGGCAGAAGCAGATCTCTCTCCCTTCCTTCTTTCAATAATACATTTGGGTTTAGTATGATTAGTTTTTGCTCCAATTCTGATTTTAAAATAACTATTCCAGGCTGGTGATCTAACAGTTAAATAAATACAGGAGGCCCCCGACGCGTGACCACCGGAGTTCTGATCCCCACACTTACAACCATTTTTGTAAGTGTGGAAGGGGCCGAAAACCCCCTACTTAGGTCCCCAGCCTGCATTTATGATGGTGCACATTACCTATCATAAATGAGGGCTCAAGTTATGACGCCCTCCACTTGCGACGCTTCCCTAGGAACTGATTGCGTCGCAAGTCGGGGGCCTACTGTAAATCTCTATCTGTACATAAAAGATTGTAAGTATTTGTGGATCTTGTATATAGTTTAATTTTTTCTTTGTAAAATTTCTTAAGTTAAGCTTCTATTACATATTTTAAAAACAATCCTCCCTCCATAGAATTCCTGTTCACTATAATAAATGGCCATTTTCACTGGCTGGATTCTACATTCCAAGTCTAAATAATAAATTCTAAGACTGCCTCAACCTCTATCAAGCATATATGGAGACAGTTAATAACATCAACTGTAGAAAGCATTATGGATTTCCTTTCAGCCTGTGTTAATTAGTCCTTCACCAACGCCCAGAAAACAGAAATGTTGGTTTAATTTTTTTTAAATCTCTTTTTGTAAATATTTTACAATACTTCCCTTTATGTAATCTGTAGGGCAAGAGCTATTTTAATTTCATTGTAAAAAAATAATAATATGAATGTAATTAATAAGAATGTTTCATGTTGACTAGGTTGCAATAACAAAGAACTTGATCTCGCAGACTTCCCCTTGAAACCCACAGGATGGTGTGTGTTACATGTCCCCTCTGTTCTGGATCCACAGAAGAAGAGTATCACAGTGCTATCCATAAAGTCTGGTTCCTTAACTCCTTCTGATGAGTCCCATATGTTCAGTCCTAGAAATCCTCAGTCCAATACCTGGTGATAGCTAAAATGCTCCTATTGAATTCCATGCATACTGCATGATCAGGGTAAAAATAAAGACCTGATCTGGAATTTTTGTGCAAGCAAAACTCCCACTCATGCTATGGATTAGAGGATGAAGTCTTGAAATTGATGCCTTTAAGTTTTACATTTTTTTACCTTACATCTATGATAACATAGGAACTCATTCTTCAGCAGCGCAATGAAGAATTGGCTAAGGTAATGTAATTGTACAATTATTCACTGAATCCAAAATGGATATCAAAGAACCAATTAACTTTTCTCTAGGCCAGGTGAGGTGGCCTTCTGGTTACAGACATGTAACATAATCATAATGAAATGCACAAGTACTAAAACTGCAGGAATGATGAGCTATGCCAATTTACATCAACCACGCCTGTGCTTTTTAGGTACAAAGTAAGGAATGGCTTATATTTGCTCTGTTTGCTGTTGGTTTTTCATATGTTCAGTGAAAATGTCTTGCTTTAGTGCCAAAATGGCTCTGCAATGAAAATACATGACAATTCATCTCCTTCCATGTGTACCATGTAAACGTTACCATTTCATCACTGAAAAAGCAAAAGCATGAAAAGCCTTGGAAAATGGCACAAAATAATTAGAAACATTCTACTACAGCTTAATTTTCCTGCCTCCAGCTGCCACCGTCCACATTCAAGGGAGGGGGCCAGAGGAAAATCTGCTCTACAGAGGCCAGGACCAGGTCTATACAGCACTTGACTTCTAAGCATATCTGCATGTAAGTTGTGTGTTCAAAAAGCTCAAGTTGTCATTGAACTTGTCAGACAGACTAGCATAAGGGCAGAATATAGAAGAATACTCATGGACTTACAATCAGCTCCAGACTTGACGAATCATTCACTCCCTTGTATCCTTTACTTTTTCCATAACATAAACACTCCTGGACTGCAGCGGAAGCTCTGAATGAAAAAGGAGCACAGACTCTAAGCCCATTGACAAAACATTTCTACACAGTAGCAATCACTCTTTAATAGCCTTGTGTTACTCGCACCTTTTTCCATGTCCTTAGATATCTTTCATTTAATGCATTATACTCAAAATAGAGGTTCTGAAGAAGTAGAAAACTTGGTTTGAACAATGTGAAACTGGATCATTAGAAATAAGGATGAAAATTTAATGCCGTTTAAGGAAGAACTAATGTGTACCCAAAGAACCAGAGGACAGGCTTTCCCACTGCACATTTGTGCAGCATCACCCATTAGGTAACTTGCACTACTGTTCAAGGTGAAAAAAAATCCATTTCCTCTTTAAAAGACAGATTATGCCTGGACTTTAGCCCATGCAGAGTGTAGGCATGGGACCATCCCCCGGTAGCATTGCCTATATAAGGGCTAGACTGAATTCCAGTCTGGGAACACAGGGATGGGGTGGAGGGTAGGTAGTAAGTTGTGCTTCATCATTGTACTTGGAAGCCTTAAATAGTTCAGAAACATAATGGTTCCTGGTGCCCCTACTAGAGTGGTACAATTTTGTGCCATCTTTTACTTGAGTTCTGCCTAAATGGCACAATCTAGCCCCTAACAATCAACATTTGACAGAAATTATGCTATCATCATTCTTTTTAAAGCTAGGTTCTTGTATTTGACAAGCACTGTGACTGTGGGTGATGTTCCACTAATAACTCCCTTTTGATAAAATGCCAAGACCTGCCAAAGAGTAAAACCCTCAGTGAATGATGCCGTCAAGGCAAGTGCTCAGTTTTCTTCTTGTGCTAGATGCCCGGAGCAACCACTTGCACAATTTACAGGACTTCCATTAGAAAGTCTTTCCTGACATTTGTAAAATGTTAATTGGGATGATATCCTATTCTGATATTCTTATAGCCTTAAAAAAACTTAATGGCCATCACTACAGCAGGCAAATGGATTATTATGTGTTATCTACTGTATAATGATTACCTATAAAAGATTACTTAGACCATCTTTTTTCATACAAGGACCATCTTTTCATGGCATTTGAACAGCATCTCACACAATGGGCTCCTGGTCCATAACTGGGGATCATAAGTGCTGAAATAATATGTCTAATTTTTAAAAATAGGTATCTAAACTGCTGGTGATGCTTCAATTTTGAAAATCTGACCCCATGAGGGGCAGGAAGGAAGCAGTCCCAATATGCCTCAGTGTAGAGACTGAAATTGTTACTTGCTCATATCTCAGCCAGGCTTTTTATAGCCTCCTCTAAATGGTACCAATTAAAAATGCCAGGCAGGATCTCCCAAATTATCCAAAATGCTTACTAAAATCAAAGTCATGATCCTTTCTATCTAATCTCTCTTCTCTAACCATGTTTTTATGCCATGTTTTATCACTGTGGTATCTATAGTGAGCATGAGTTTTTGACTGAGCACAGCCAGAATCAGGCCCCTTGGCAGAAATGTGCCATAGAAAAGGTTAATTAAACTTAAAATTTCCTCAGAGCTTTACACAACAGCAAACTGCAAAAGATGAATGTCATTTAAAAAATAGAGGGGGCATCAAAATCTTTTTTCTCCTTCAATCTGAAGTGGAACTAATCTAAAATAATGTGCCACTCTTGCAGTACAGTGAAAGCCGCTATGTTGCAGAATTTCAAATAGACTTTTAATGAGTTATCATTTTTTGCACAATTAGCAGCTATGAACTATTGAAAAGCTCCCAAGACTAGTGAGCTGCATGTTCTAGTGCCATTGGTTACAGCCAGTAGTATTTAATTTGAGCTCTGAAAAGCATGTTAATAGCCCTCTCTGCTATTTATGATAAACTGATGTGGCATTGAAGCCATCTGCATCAAAACACATTGTGCCTACGTTTTTGGCATTTGAGTACAGAATATTTTATTTTAGAAAAAACCAGCATGACAATCTTGCATGTGAAAAGACATCATTCAAATGCATTATGTATAACCAATCACACTGCCACAAGTGCTGTATCACTTATGGGAACAAAGACGTAGCAATCCTGGAGTTTGCTCATTGAGTTAGTTAATTAAATGCGGCGCCTCCTTCTTCAACTGTTTTTCAAAAGTTACTTTTACTTGTCAAATAACTTGTTCTATCCAATGAACTAATACTGCACAAATAAAGTTTCCTGGGTTTAACTGAAGCCTATGAACGGTATTATTTGTATTAGTGTTATTCTGTATCCGCAGAAATAACAAGAAGTCCAATGGCACCTTAAAGAATAAGAGTGCATCTAGACAGCACCTTTATCTTGGCATGTGCTATGCAATTTGTGCGTTAAAATGTATTTTGAAAAAGCATATTTTGAAATTTGACATTGTCTACTCAGAACCAAATTTCAAAATAACGTGCTATTTCAAGACATCCCTTAACTCTTGTGGAACGAGGATTATAGGGATGCTGGAATAGCATGCCTGTTCTTTCAAAATCTATTTCAAAATAACAGGCGTGTGTAAAAGACATGGAATAGCTATTTTGGGATACCTCTAGTATCCCAAAATAACTCCACAGTCTAGATGTACCTTAACAGATTTTTTGGGGTATGTCTACACTTGCACCCTAGTTCGAACTAGGATGCAAATGCAGGCATTCGAAACAGTCAATGAAGCAGGGATTTAAATATCCCGCGCTTCATTAGCATGATCTCGCCGGCGCGCTAGTTCGAATCACAGCTGATTCGAACCAGGAAATGCGCGCCAGGACGCATTAGTTCGAACCAAACCCTTTGGTTCGAACTAACGTTACTCCTCATTTTTTGAAGAGTAACATTAGTTCAAACTAAGGGGTTTGGTTCGAACTAACACATCCCGGTGTGCACTTCCTGATTCGAATCAGCTGTGATTCGAATTAGTGCGCCGGCGAGATCATGCTAACGAAGCACGGGATATTTAAATCCCCACTTCATTGACTATTTCGAATGCCTGCATTTGCATCCCTAGTTTGAACTAGGGTGCAAGTGTAGACATACCCTTGGGGCATAAGCTTTCATAAGCAAAAAGCCACTGATGCATCTGACAAAGTGGATTTTTGCCCACAAAAGCTTATGCCCAAATAAATCTGTTTGTTTTAAGGTGCCACAGAACTCCTCGTTGTTTTTAATAGTATTATTTGTAAGTGTTCAGAACACTACTGCCACGACATTTTATTTTTTAATAAAATAAGGAACCAAGAGTTTATTACAATGCTGATTTCATGCAATGTTTTGTTAAATCTGTCTATCATTTCTGCAATGTTTGCCAGTTTCTATCTTTGTGTGCTCATTCTCTTTGACCAAGGAAACAAATTTACTTTAAACTTTAGCATTGTTCTTCTTATTAAAAAAATTAAAATTGCATCATAAAAATGGATTGATGAGTCTGTCATATTCTTCTTAATTGAAATCATTTTAAATTTTGAGATTACAAGAGAAATTGAAAAACAAAAGAAGCACCAAACCTCTCTCCTCTGCCCGTGTCACCCCTCCCCCCCCCAAAAGGGAAGTAGCCCAATCCAGGTTTAAAATACTGCATGAAACATACATGGCACTCAGTGCCATAATCTGAGTTACACTGAGCACAAATGGCCCTAGATTGAAATGATCTGGAATTTAGATCTTGATCCTGATTTAAATCTACAAAAGCTTGAACATTCCAAGTTAACATTCAGTTTGGTTCTGACAATTTGCTCTGTAAAAGTGTAAAATCCTTGTGACTTGTGTTTATTGGCTCAGTAATTTCCATATAAAATATTCTCAGTTTTCAAGTGAAAAGGATGTCTGTCCCCCAACCTTCAACTGCCAGCCCTGCAAAGTCAATCTAGAATCTGAGAGTCAGGTTGGTTCTTTCCTTCATGTTCACCATGACAGAACACAGCTTTTGTAAAAATGTCAGTTTTTACAAGCAAATTATGCCCTCAAGCTGTGTCCACCCTAGACTCTTTCCTCCTGAAATTTCCCACTGTTCCTGTCATTGGTGCAGTAACAACAATGAAACTTGTAGTACAAAGTGCCAATAACTGTGTCTCCTAAAAATGCTCAACGCAGTTCTAGAAAAGAGGGTGGTTAAATCACCAATGACCACCAGAGCCCTGGCCTACTACGGCTCTTGCCATTGCTACTGGAGATGGAAATTCAGTGATGGCAGCAGAGGATCAAGTCTAGTGTTAACACGGCATTAGTATCACTATTTAGTGACTATTTTGCAACCACCTTTGCCTTCAATGGGATGGAAGAACTGTAACTGCTTGGAACTCCCTTGGTGATGCAAAGAAAGAACAGTGACTCTGAAAAGGGACTGGTAGTCTTGATCAATAATCAGCTGAACATAAGCACTCAGTGAGATGCTGTGGTAAAAAAGTTAATGTGATTCTTGGATACCTAAACAAGGGAATGTCAAGTAGGAGTAAAGAGGTTATAATACCTCTATATCTGGAGCAGGTGTGCTACTGGAATATTCCAGTTCTCATGTCCACAGTTCACAAGCTGCTGTAAATATCCTGTTCAAAATACATGGGCTATGTAAAATCCTCACTCCAAACTTCAGAATGGTTTAGCCACTCTGTATTCCCAAGTAGAAAAAGGAAAGATGTACTTTATGATGTACTTGGGTGTAATAATATCATTAGGAATTCTTAAAGAGTGTTAAACTCAACACCAGAAGTGGTTCAGGGCAAGGTACTGCTTCTAGCATCACTCTAGTTAAAGCAAGTCCTGTCACAGAGGAAAATTATTTTCCAGATGAGTGTCAATATTGTACTCTAAGCGTACCAAGAATGTGCCTTTATTCAGAATCTACCTAGAATGGAATAGTTGATAGAGGAAGTTGTTACTGGCAGATTCTTTAATTGGGGATGATACTAAAGTTATGTTCAGTCAAGATAATATAACAACCCAGTCACAGAGGGAATATGAACGTATTCCCTATGCCTTATCTGCTACCTGTAAGGAGAGATGTGACCAGGAAGGAAGTGCTCCTAAACCTGTGTCTATTAAGGCAATGAATTGCCTATGGGGAATTTCTCCAGTTGTGTGTCTGTTGAAAACAGCAGCATGCCTACTGACAACAAGTATATGTCCAGCCCCATGGAGCAGACAGAAGGAGCCTCTCAGCATAAGCTAGTTGAGGATTTGTCAGCTCTCCCGGAGTTAGTTCCTGACTTAACTGAAGTGTGGGAAGGAAGTGTTCCTAAAATGGTGTCTATTAGGGGTAATGACATTATAACCAGATTGCATCCAGTTAATATCATGATTAAGTCCCAGGAATTGGAAAATTCTGTGTCGATCTTATCTGTTGGTGGGTAAGGCTATGACAACTTTGCTTAATCAGGTTAATATTATGGCCAGGGCACCAGGGAAGCATCATGGTGTTTTAACTGCAGGGATGGGGGACCTTTTTTGGGGGTTGGAGGCCATTGCCCCACAGAAAAATCAGTTAGTGGCCACACATAAGTGAGAAACAAACAACCCCAAAAAACACCCCAACACAAACCGTCTCTGATGTGGCCCCCTGACTGAGAAGAAGAATGACACCCCCCACATTCCCCTCAGACACCAGAGACTTGGGGGGGCCTAGGTAGCTTTTGTGTGCTTCACCTTCGCAGTGAGATGCTGGGAGGAATGGAGCACCAGCGCAGGCTCCCCAATGATGGGGTAAAGAACCGAACCTCGGCAAGCCGGGGCCTGCATCCAGCAGAGTTGTCGACTTGAGTCCCACGACTTGAACTCTAGTCCGACTTAAGTCACCTAGATGACTCAACTTGAGACTCGACTCGGGTTCATTGTTTGTGACTTGAGACTCGACTTGAGACTTGCTAATTTCGTTAAATTGACTTGGTGAAAAAATTGTCCAAAAATGCCGCTGTTCTGATGTGCCCAGAGTGGTGATTGTGGCCCTGCCTCCCAGCCTGGGAATCCCAGCTGAGAGGCAGGGCCACAATCGCTGCTCTGGGTGCAAAGGAAGCCTGGTGGGGACGGGGGGAGTGGTTGGGAGTCCCAGCCACTCTCCCCACCCCTGCCAGGCTTCTGTGCAATCACAGGCTCCTAGCGCCAATTGTGGCCCCACCTCCCAGCCGCTCTCCCCCGCCCATGCCAGGCTTCCATCCGGTGCACAGCTGGAAAAATCAGAAAATACCAAACTGTCCGGTAGAACACCGGACACCTGGCAACCCTAAGCACTTCAGTCAAGTAAACAATTGTTATATGCATGAAGAGGTGAGATTTCAGATTTGTAAAAAATAAATTGATAAAAATATTGTGTTTACTTGTCAACAATATGCTACATTGTTGCGGGTTACTTTTCTTTAGAAACGATGCAATACATAGTGAATGTGTTCCATTGTTCTTTTGTTGTTCTGAACGCATCTAGGTGCAATTTCCGGTTTTAACATAGAGATACGACAACAACAATGCGAAAATAGTCTATTGGTTTGGGATTTGCAAAAATCTTTTTGATTGTATGTGTGTGTCTATTTATGAAATTTTACATTAATATGTTATTTTTTAAATTTCAAAGTGAACAAAAAGAAAAAAAGAAAATAACAATATTAAAATAATCAAAAAGTTAATATCCATCTGTGAAGAATGATCAAGAAAACTCAAACTGTCATAAACTCTGGATTAATTGATTTGACCAAAACCAGAGAAAACATGATCAGCAAAGTGCAAATTCTGTGGGATTGTAATCACTGATGGCATTGCAACAACTTCCAATTTTTTGCGCCATATAAAAATCCATCTGGGAAAGCACAGTGAGTACAAAAACTATCTGTGACAAACCACCATCG